GAGGGAGGGAGAAGCGCGCTATTCGCTCCTATCATTATAATCGGCCGCGAAGCAAACGTTTCAGCCGGTAAATATTTAAGTCGGCCGGTAAGGGGCCGGTAATGAGAGTCGCGAGATGGATCGATAGACATAGTACGTAGGACGTGTATACGCACGTTGTATGGGTCGCTGACACTCTCGATAAATATTGTCGGGCAGAATCGTACCTTCACGTTTCTTCGTGTGTCGAGAGATGACGGCGATATCACCCTCGTCCCGGAGAAATTAAAAAGTCTAGGGCAAACATCGCGCTGTCACACTTTTCTCCTCTTTCTTCCCAACCCCTGGAGTCGCTCTCCCTTCTTACATCGTTATGTTAGTCTTGAAAGGCAAATAGACGTAGCAAATGTGATTTAATCGTCGCTTCGATACGAGAATATTATATCTCTCCTCCTGCCGTCTCTCTTCTTCTCAAGCTAATTATACATTAGCTCGCAAATACGATTGTTTTACGTTTCAAACATGGAAAATTTTATGTGTTATTCCTAATGATGTTTTCCTATTGAGTTTCGTTAGCTCTAATTAGCGCAAAGTGTTCACCGTCGTGCCTCCAAGGCCGCCACGAGATTATGAAAGTCCTGAACGCAAATTCCTCATAAGTTTTCCGATAAAGCTTTGTGCATAGAAACATTCACGTTCGCGCTTTTTAACTTCCGTGATATAACATATCATTCCTAAAAGTACAATATTTCTTGCAATATTTTATCCCACTTATTATTTAACATGAAAACATAGTTTTTGTCGCTAGATAAAAAACGAAAGATGTTTATAGAGTTAACAATGTTGCGCATATTGAAAAACGAAACATAAAAGTCGTGGAATATAACAATCAGTCGCATTTGCTTGCTCAAAGTGAATGCTATAATTAAACAAATTTGCAAGTTTGCATGCGCAATTTTTACCATCCCATTAGTTGTATAACAAGCTAGTAATAAATATGCGGCATGTATCAGTGTGATACATTCAACAGACATTATGTATTGTAAATAAAATTACCAAATAAAGTCGCAGGTAGCGTTATCGACTAATAGTTTTCGTAGTATTGATTTTAATGGCGCATGAAGTTTCTTGTCAATCCCACATATTGCTTCAGTTATTTTACTTTAAAATAATTAAAATTATTTTATAATAATTTAATTTAATTATATATATTTTATTTTAATTATAGAAATTGTTTAAAATAAAATGATTGAAAAGCATCGTCTGTGTTTTGCAACACAGCTATAATCCAAAATTTTGTTTATTATTCATGAGCGTCAGTTTTCAAAGCACAAGAGACTCATGTTGAAACGTATAATTGATGTTATAATTGAATACATCACATTACACTTTAATTATCATAATATTGTTTCTTCTGATGTTAGTTTAACTAAATTATTATATTTTTTTGCTTTACAATTATCTTGTCATTATTAATACAAACGTACGGGAAATAAGTATATTGCAAAATATACGAAGTGAAATCGATGTATTTGCTCTAAGCTCATAAATTGTCTTGAGATATTAACGGCATATGATAGCGCTTTTCTGTGCATCAAGCAGTATGATATAAAATTGAATCGTAGGTGATACAATTATGATAATTGTATTTTCCTTTATGTAGTCGTGAAAGATGGTAAGAAACGGACTGTCTGCTTTCCAACAAAGCAACATTGTCATGCACTACGATATCACCATGTTGCGGACGATAATTCCAACAATAATATATCGAAATGAAATGTCAATAAATTTAATGTAGAAGAAAAAACCCGCTCAATAAGATGAGTTAGAAGAAAAGAAAATTTCTTTATTTCGAGAGCACGTATGATATGAGAAATCAATTTTGAAAGAAATTCTTTCATATATTGAGTGGTTTAGAATATAATTAATTTATGGACACTTTCTTTTAACATCTATATTTTGCCGTGATATTGCAAATTAAAGAATGTAAGATCGAGTAAACGTAAATTGAAACGTTTTCATCACCGATCCTATCTTTTGATGCGAACATTAAGTATCTTGCGATTACTCGCCGCGCTTCGCATGATGACATACAGTCTCTACTTTTTCCACAGAGTCGTTTTTTTTTCCTTCAGAACACTCGTGAATTTTCTCTACTGTTTGTGCACGTTTGTTTGAAAGAGAAAAAGAAAGAGAGAGGGAAATACCGCTTGCGGAACGTCCGCTCGCGGAATTAATTTCTTTTCGATAGAATCTTAACGACGACGCCTTCCGTTGTATTACAACATTTAGAGGCGTCCGTTCGTTTTTATCATCGCTTTACAATCATAAAATTGTTTGCTCGGAATTTCAAGCGAAAGAGGAGGGGATCGTCGTCTCCGCAAGTACAGGTGTTTGCTCGGTATTATCACCGCCGGTCGATCGTCGTTAGACAAGCGACAGTGGACTTTTAGAAGGCCGTGACAAGAATTTACAAGTACCCTCTTTTTTTTCTTTCTTCTTTATTATTATTATCTACCACGAGGCTGCGTGCGGGACGTTTCGTACTTGAACATCAAGATTCGCGAGAGCGATTAACGCAGAAGCTGTTGATTTTTTTTCTTTCGTATAACGATATCACGAGAGTAATTGCAAGATACGTGCGAGATTATGCGACTGACGCTAATAAATTATGTCAGTCGTGACACTTTCTGTTTTCGATGAAACCGCATTTACTGGAGAATTATGATGAAATTTATGATTTCACGAGTTAGTTTTATTATATATTATATGATATTTTATTACCGAAAATTTCCGTGGAGGACAAAGTACGCGGTTTCTATGCTAAATTTATAAAAATTGAAAAATTTTGTGAATATAAGGGAGTTACAAAAAGTAAAAAATTTCTGATGTTAAATTTCTCATATTTATCAAGGCGAAAAAAATTTTTAGTTGGTCGAAAAATTAACCTTGTCAAAGATAGAAGCGATTTTCAATCTGTTAGCACAGGTGATTTGCTTACATTTCACAAAATTGTATGTTTCTTTTTACATAAACCGATTTGTACCAAAATATTATCAGAGTAAAGTATTTTTCTCTCTGATATAAAAAAAATCTAAGTATATGTTTTTTTATAAACTCATCCTATATGTAAAATAATTGAAATAGTCGATTTGTAAAAAAAAAAGTCGTATGGATTAATTTCTTGATTTTAATTGGACATTTTTTTTTACTTCTGATGAATACTATATATATATATATTCTTGTAAATTTTTTAAAATACTCTGTATACATGACGTATAACAAGTACGATTATCTTTTTTTCACTTATTTCCTCTAACGGTTATCGATACCTCCTTCAATTTCTCTGCTAATTTTTTTCAAACACGGTTTCAAGCGTATCGATTATTTGTCAACTGTCATTATATCAATGTCGCGGATGTGACGACATACTTCGGTTGCTTATTTTACATGTTAATGTAATTGTTTTTAATTGTACTTCATACCTGAACTAAGCCAACGTTGTCTTTGGACAATCGGTTGTTTCTGGAAGTATTGAGCAAAGGTTTTAGTCATCGCTGTCAGATGCGCAAGTGCCGGTTGACGCCACGATTTATTAGTTGATTCAGTTGCGTTTGGTTAACCTTGGTTCATTATTCCAGATCGCTCACCGGTTCTCTTTCTCGCATGATAATCGAATTTGCAACGCGTTTATAACTCACGCCTCGCATCTCACAATGTAGCTAATCGTCGTCGATCAAATTTTATCGTGTTCACGAGTTCTACCGTATTCACGAGTTTATTAATATTTAATTGATTGATTTTCAATATTTCTTATGATTTTTTTAATTAGACAGATGACAATTACGTTGCAGAATTCAGAAAATCTTTTGACATTTTTATATATATATATAT